GGAGCCGGTGGCAGGGTTGGGGACACGGGGATGGGGACATGGGGGGGACAGGGGGGATGTTCTTTAATTTCTGAGTGGCACCATGTAAATAGGGTTGCACAGAGCCAGCAGCCGGTGGGCGGCAAGCGCGAGGGGGGGACAAGGACGCTCTGGGGGGGGGACAAGGACAGTCAGGATGGCCGAGGATGCTTGGGAGGGACAAGGATGCTTGGGAGGGATGAGGATGCTCGGAGAGGGCCAAGGAGGATGCTCAGGGAGGGAGGAGGGTGCTCAGGGGGGGATGAGGACCCTGGGGACAAGGACAGTTGGGAGGGACAAGGATGCTTGAGGAAGGATGAGGATGCTCGTGGAGGCCAAGGACAGTCGCTAGGGATGAGGACACTGAGGAGGGACAAGGATCTCAGGAGGGATGAGGAGGATGCTCAGGGAAGGATGAAGACCCTGGGGACAAGGACAGTTGGGAGGGATGAGGACTCTGGGGAGGGACGAGGATGGCTGGGAGGGATGAGGATGGTTGGAAGGGACGAGGACAGCTGGGGGGATGAGCATACATGGGAGGGACAAGGACAGGGACACTGCAGAGGCATGAGGGTGCTGGGGAGGGACAAGGAACGTTGGGGGACAAGGATGCTTGGGGGGATGAGGACATTGGGGAAGGACGAGGACACCCGGGGGATGAGGATCGCTGCGGGGAAGAGGACACTTGGGAAAGACAAGGTTGCTTGGGAGGGACAAGGACAGTAGGGAGGGACAAGGGGGATGGTCGCAGGGGGATGAGGATGGTGGGGAGGGACAAGGAGACTCGGGGGGTGGTGAGGACAGTTGGGGAAGGATGAGGGTGCTCAGGAGGGATAAGGACACTGGGGATGAAGACAGTTAGGAGGGATGAGGACATTCAGAGGGGGCACAAGGACATTCAGGAAGGACAAGGTGGCTTGGGAGGGATGAGGACACTTGAGAGGGCCACGGATGGTCGAGGTGGGACAAGGATGCTGAGGAAGGATGTGGGCGGTCAGGAAGGATGAGGACAGTCAGAAGGAATGAGAACGGTCAACGGGGATGAGGACGGTCAGGGGGACAATGACCCTGGGGGAGGACAAGGACACTTGGGATGGACAACGGTGCTTGGGATGGGTGAGGATGGTCGGGGGACAAGGATGCTGGGGAAGGAGGAGGACACTGAGGAGGGACGAGGACACTTGGAGGGGACAAGTACACTTGGGGAGGATGAGAACACTTGGGGAGGATGAGGATGCTGGGCAGGGATGAGGAATTTGGGGAGGGATGGGGACACTGAGGAGGGATGGGGACATTGGTGAAGGATGAAGACACTTGGGGAGGACAAGAACGCTAGAGAAGGAGGGACACCCACCCACCTTGGTGCGACCCACCCTTTGTGGGTGGCTTTTGCTAGCAAAGAACCCCTTTCTGGGGAACCACTTAATAAAGCTGGATTTTAGCCGAGCCGAGGGGACTCTGGCCTTGCTGCGTCCTACACCCTGGAGACTGCCACGCTCCTGTCCCTCCTGTCCTTGGCTCGCCACCCGCCCGGGCCCAGGGGCTGCCAATCCCTGTCCCGTGGCCACCTGGAAAGAAAAGGGGACATTTTCCAGCACCCCACAACAGGTGACACCCCGCACCGCCCCCGGTGCCCATCACCCCGGCGTTGGGGCGCCGCTCACCGTACTGTGGGACACCCACGGCTGCCTCCGTCCCGGCTCTCCATGGGACCCCCAGCGCTGTCCCCCAGTCCCAGGCGGGGATGGGGACCCCGGGTGAGAAGCCTCCCTCCAAGGGTGATGGTGGTGGTGAGGGACCTGCCGGGGAGAAGGCAGGAGATGGTGGCATCACCATGGTGTCAGGATGGGGCCACCTCCCCTGGGGAGGTGACAATGCTTGGGGTCAGAGGGGTGGTCCGGGGACACTTCGCTCACCCCCGTAGCCCACATCGGTGTCCTCGAGGCTGAAGCAGAGCCCGTCGACGGCCACAGCCAGTGCCCGGGCGAAGCTGGCGTCCAGGAGGAAGGAGCCATCACAGGAGCTCACCAAGCTGCAGCGGGCGCTGGCAAAGTTGTCCTCTGAGACAGACCCCCAGCCATTCAGCAGCGATCCCCCTGGAGAGCCCCTCATCGCTGGCCGCTCTTCCTCCTCCTCTTCCTCCTCCTCGCCCAGCTCAGAGGCCGGTGGCCCGTAGATGTAGCCGTAGGTGTGTGGCGGTGAGAAGGACCGTGGTGTGGTTGGTGCCGGGGGGCTGCGGGGGACATGGCAGGGATGCCATTGGCACCGGGGGATGCTGCCACCATGGTGGTGTCCCAGGGGGATGGGGCATACCGGGGGCAGGTGGTGTCCTGGTCCATCTCCAGGTCCTCGGCCACCCGCTGTGGTGTGAGGACCCCATCACTGAATGCCGGCGAGAGGCGCCCGGTGACTGGGGTCCTGTCTCCTGGGTGCCTGGTGGCCGGAGACGTGTCCTTGGGGTACCTGGTGGCCAGGAACATGTCCCTTGGGTGCCTGGTCACCAGTGATGTGTCCTGGGATGCCTGGTGGCTAGGAACATGTCCTTGGGGTACCTGTTGCCCAAGAACATGTCCCTCCGGTGACCAGTGACTGGGGACATCTCTTCGGGGTGCCTGGTGACTGGGGAAGTGTCCCTTGGGTGCCCGGTGGCTGGGAATGTGTCCCTGGGATGCCTGATGTCCTCAGGGTACCTGGTGATCAGGAACATGGTCCGCCTGGTCGCCGGTGACGGGTGACGGGCCGTGGCTGGGGATGTGTCCCTGGGATGCCTGGTGGCTGGTGAGATATCCTCAGGGTACCTGGTGATCAGGAACATGTCCCTTGGGTGCCTGGTCGCCGGTGACGGGTCCCTGGGGCACTGGCAGCCAGGGACAGGTCCTTGGGGTACCTGGTGACCAAGAACATGTCCTTGCAGTGACCGGTGACTGGGGACATCTCCTCAGGGTGCCTGGTGATGGGGGATGTGTCCCTGGGGTGCCTGGTGTCTGGGGACGTGTCCTTCGGGTAGCTGGTGGCCGGTGACATGTCCTTTGGGTATCTGGTGGCCAGAAATGTGTCCATTGGGTGCCTGGTCAATGGTGATGGGTCCCCGAGGCACTTGGTGGCCAGGGACATGTTGGGGTACCTGGTGGCCAGGAGTGTGTCCCTACGGTGCCCGGTGGCTGGGGACTTCTCCTTGGGGAGCCTAGTGACTGGGGACGTGTCCCTTGGGTGCCCGCTGGCTGGGGATGTGGCCTTGGGGTGCCTGCTGGCCGATGACATATCCCTCTGGTGCTTGGTCACCGGTGATGGGTCCCTGGGGTGTCTGGTGGCTGGGGACATGTCCTTGGGGTATCTGCTGCCCAGGAACCTGTCCCTGTGCTGACTGAGGACTGGGGACATCTCCTTGGGGTGTCTGGTGACTGGGGACACGTCCCTGGGGCAGCTGGTGACCAGGGACGTATCCTCAGGGTGCCTGGTGGCAGAGATTGTGTCCCTCTGGTGCCTGGCGGCTGGTGATGGGTCCTTGGGGTGCTCAATGATGAGGGACATGTCCCTGGGGCGCCTGGTGACCGGTGACACATCCCTGGGGCTCTCAATGACCAGGGATGTGTCCCTGGGGTGCCGGGTGGCTGGAGACATGTCCCTGGGGATCCCAGTGACTGAGGACATGTCCTTGGGGTGCCTGCTGCCCGGGGAAGTGTCTCTGGGGATCCCAGTGACTGGGGACATGTCCTTGGGTCGTCTGGTGACCGGGGACGTGTCCCTGGGGCATGCAGTGGCCGGGGACCTGCAGGTGCAAGGGACACGGTGGCTTTTGCAGCACAGGGTTGGGGGTGCATGGCACTCATCTGCGTCGCCAGGGTGGGGGCACCCAGACTTACCGGGTCACCGGGGGGTGCCAGGCGTGGGGTGGCCTTGGGGGTGTCACCGGTGACCCGGTGACACTGGAGGCCAGTGAGGCGCTGCCCCGCCGCGGTTTTGGGGAGCTGAAGACGGGTGTCACCGGTGACCCGGTGACACTGGAGGCCAGTGAGGCGCTGCCCCGCCGCGGTTTTGGGGAGCTGAAGACTGGCAGCCGCCGGGGGTCCCCTCCGGCCAGCACGGCGGTGGTGATGTCACTGTCATGTCCCCTTTGCTGAGGCCACCTGGCTGCCAGCCCAAAATCCGTCCCCCACTCGCTTCCACTCCCGGTGACAGGGACGTGGCCGGGACCACTCGTGAGCACTGGGGTGCTGTGCACTTGGTGCAGCTCTGCATGGAGCCGGGGGGACACAGAGCCATGAGCCACCTCCCCAGTGTCCCCCGTGTCCCCCCCATACCCACCTCTCTTGTGGATGCGCTCCCAGGGTGCCGGGTTCGGGGTGCTGGGCGAGGTGCGCACCCTGGGGTGCCCCCCGCCACAGCACCCGGTGTCCCCAAGGGGCGGTGGGTGCCCCCTGCGGAGGCTGCTGCGGTTGGGGGGCGTGGGGGGGCCGAGGCTCGGTGGCTCCAAGGACAAGGCTGGAGGGGTGAGAGCGGTCAGGGAACCCATGGGTGCTGAGCCAGGTGTCCCTTGTCCCCTCCAACCTCGGCTCTGGCTGTCCCCAGGTCCCTGCTACCTGCAGAGAGGGTCCCACGGCTATGGGGGGCACCCAGGTGGGGGTGCCATGGCACCGGGGGGTCCCAGGCATGGGGTGGGGGTATCAGGCACCCTTTCTGGGTGTGGGTCCCAGAGGACTGGGTGGGGGTCCCATGGCATCATGTGGGGGTCTCATTAGGATGGGTGGGGGTCCCATGGCACCAGATGGAGGTCCCATCCCCAGGGGCTCACTGGAGGGGTGGGGGTCCCATGGCTCTAGGTGGGGGTCTCAGCCCCCATGGGGCTCACTGGAGGGGTGGGGATCCCTGCCATCGCTGCCCAGGAGCCGGCTACTGAGGCTGCTGCTGCTGCTGAGGTTTCGGGGGGCACAGCCGGGTTTCCAGGGTCCACTGAGCCACGGCGATTTACCGTCCACCAGCCTGCGGGGCAAGGGATGCCATCAGGGTGTCCCATCCCCACCATGCCGGGGACCCCCCATGTCCCCCACCCCACGGCCGCTCACCTGCGGCGAGCCGCGGCGTCCTGGCTGGCGCGGCGCTGGCAGAGGAGTAGGAGGAGGGCGAGCAAGGCCAACCAGAGCAGCGAGCCAGCGGCTGCGATGACGGCGGGCTGCTGCAGTGCCCGCACCCCCCTGTTGCTCCCTGCCGTCAGCCCTGCAAGGGTCCCACCAGCGTCACCCCTGTGCCACCACCTTGACCCCCACCTGCACCCCACCTTGCTCCCCGTCCCCTACCCAGGACACCACAGGTGGCATTGCTGGGGACCCCCAGCCCCGCGCTGTTGAAAGCTGCCACCTGGACACAGAATTCGGCACCAGGGCTCGGGAGGAGGGTTTCCAGGCGGCGGGTGCCTCCGTCCACTGTCCTGTTGGTGTGGCGCTGCCAGCCCTCGCCCATTGACCAGACCTGGCATGTGCCGAGAGAGTGGGCCCCCTTAGATGAATCCCCCTGATGGACCCCCATTGATGGATCCCCCTTGGATGGACCCTTTTGCATGGACCCCCTTGGATGAACGCCCCTTGGATGGACCCCCTCAGATGAATCCCCTTGATGGACCCCCATTGATGGATCCCTCTTGGACAGACCCCTTGGATGACCCCCTTAGATGAATCCCCTAGGTTGAACCCCCTTGGATGGAACCCCTTGGGTTAGATCCACTTGGATGACCCCTGTCCTTAGACTGACCCCTTGGATGGATCTCCTTGGACGGATTTCCCTCTTAGACGGATCTCCTGGGGTGGACCTCCACCTTGGCTGGCCCCCTTAGATGAACCCCTTTGTTGACATCCCTCTTGGATAGACCTCTTATATGCATCCCTTTTGGACGGACTGCTTGGGTGGTCCCCCCTTGGATAGACCCCCATCTTTGAAAGGCTCCCTCCTTGGATGGATCCTCCACAGACAGACCCCTTGGATGAACCCTCCTTGGCCAGAAGGGAGGCCCTCCCCAGCCTCCCCGCGCCCCATCACCCCAAACCTTGTAGCCCCGAATGATGCCATTGTGGGCCTCAGGAGGAGGTGGCTCCCAGCTCACGATCACGGTGCCGTTCCCCATCTCAGCCTGGCCCACGGTGACGTGCTGGGGCGCCGCGCTTGGTACTGCCGGAACAGGGGTACTGAGACCCCTGGGACCCCCAGCCGACCCCCCCCATCCTTCACCTGGGCATCCCTGGGGGCACCTCACGCCTACCACACCTTCCTCAGGTATCCAGAGGTGCCTGATGTTGCTGTCCAAGCCCTGGGTCCCTCCAGCGTAGGGTTGGACCTTGAACTCATACTTGTAGCCCCTGCGGAGTGCGGGGATGACAGCGCTGAGCTCCCTGCCGGCATCGTGTTGGACCCAGGAGGTGCTGGCAGGGAGCAGGCAGCGGTACAGCACCATGTAGCCCTCCGGCGCCAGTGCCGGCGTCAGCATCTGGAGGGGATGGGAAGGGTTACGAGGCGTGGTGGGACGCAGATGGGACATGGGGATGGATCTCCAGCCTCATCCCTATGCCCCATCCCACCCCTCCGGTGGGGACATCCTGACATCACACCAACCCGCCAGCGGAGCTGGACGGCAGCGGCGGGCAGCGCGGTGCCGTTGTCCAGGTGCAGCCTCACGGCCAGCAGGTCCCGTGGTGCAGCCTCCTGCCGGCCCATCGGCAGCCGGTCTGTGGGGCAGAGGGAGGCTAACAGCAGCGCTGGGCAGGAGCAAGGTCCTCCAGCACCTGCCCAGGCACCCACCCCGGATACCCATGCCTGGAGACCCTGATGTCTCCTTGGAAGGACCCACTCAAATGCTTGAGTGGTCAAATGCTTGACCCACTCATCCCTTGGATGGAAACCTCTTGGATGTACCCCTTGGACAGACACCCTCTGATGGATCCATCTTGGATAGACCTCCTTTGATGGACCCCATGATAGACCCCTATTGATGCATCCCTCTTAGATGGACCCTTTGGATGGATACCTCTAGTTGGATCCCCCTTTAATGAACCCCCCACCTTGGACAAGACCCCCTTAAATAGTTCCCCTTGGAGGAACCCGCTTGGATGGATCCCCTTTAGACGGACCCTCTTGAATGGATCCCCATGGAAGGGCCCCCACCTGGATGCATCCCCTTAGATGGATCCCCTTACATGGACATGTTTGGATGGCCCCCTTGGATGTATCCTGTTGGACGGATGCCTTTAGATGGACCTCCTGAGATGGACCCCCCTTCGGAAGTACCCCCTTTGATGGACCCTCCTTGAATGGACCCCCTTAGACGACTCAGTTGGATGGACCCTTTTTTGATGGACTCCCTTGGATAGACCCCCTTGGATGGACCCCCCTTGGACAGACTCCCCTTGGATAGACCCCCTTGGATGAACCCCATTAGATAAACCCTGTCAGATGGCTCCCCTTGCACGGACCCCCAGATGGCCCTGGGTGCCCGTGGCGGTGGAGGCCACGGACGTCCCACCACTGACCCTCCACGCGGAGGCGGGCACTGGCAGCGGCGGTGCCCAGCTGGCTCTGTGCTGTACACACGTAGGTGCCGGCGTCGGCAGGCATCACGGCGTCGAGGCGCAACGTGTGCTCCCGGTCCACCTCGTGCCTGCGGGTCACCAGCTCTCCATCAGCCCCATCACTGCCCCACCCTGGGGATGGGACGCCTCCACCCTGCCACCACCTACCTGCCCCAGGGCAGGTCCCCACGCTCCTTGTGCCACTGCACCCGCGGCGCCGGGTCACCTTGGGCACCGCAAGCCAGCTCCACGGTGCTGCCAGCCACCGCCACGGCGTCGCTTGGGCGCCGCACAATGGTCGGCTTCTCTGCAGGGGGACATCGAGGACGTGGCACCAAGGCTGGGCATGACTTGTTCACCACCCATGGGAGACCCTCGGCTTACCCAGGACGGAGACGCGGGCGCCCCGGCTCTCCCTCTAACCTGCCGTGTTGGCTGCCACGCAGACGTAGAGCCCGGAGTCGCTCCGTCGCGCCGGTGCCACCCGCAACTTCCCACTGGTGACCACATACCGGTCATCGGTCAAGTCCAAGGTCACCCCGTCCTTCTTCCAGGTGACGTGGGGTTCGGGGTGCCCCAAGGGTGGCACGCAATCCAGCTCCAACGCTTGCCCCGCCGTGGCCACCAAATCACCCGGCTGCAGGCGGAAATTGTCCCGCAGTGCTGCGGTGGGGAGGGGACACCATGGGTGGGTGTGGGGG